GCCTTCTTTTTTGTATCTTAACATGATTTATATTTACTATGCTAGTTAATGTTTAAAATTTAAAATTACAAAGAAAATAAACTTGAAAAATATTTTATTGGTAGGATTTAGAAGTGGGTCTTAAAACAGCTATACATATCATTAAATCTTTGTCTGTTGGGGGAAATCATATTGCTAAAGCTGATGATTGTGATTGTGGAGGTTGAATGAGCAATTTGCTGAACTGTAGTTCAGTAATATTACAAGAACCTGTTCTTTTGAATAATTGAACACTGGTTTGATATGTTGCTTGGTGATTACCCTAATGGCTAATTGGCTCATATAACCTTGTATACATGGGCATACACTTAGACCCTAAAGCTAAGATTAGGTTGGGAAGTAAGATACGGGGTACTGAATTATTACAAGTCCTTACCCTTTATATTGCCATTTTTGTCCCAAATACTTCAGAACTCCCCTTTCCAGACCTCTAGACCTGTGACGGTCGCTTCAAGTCAATCAGAGGGAAAAATGGTATGAGTGATATAAATTATCATTTCTTATGATAAGATAAATGCTTGGCCTGTTATATCATGCTGCCATTCTCCTGGGCTACACTGGACACTCCCCAGCTTGATGTACATCTACTTATTATTGTCTATATGGTCAGGCATCGATATGTGCTCCTGCTTCTGATGCTCAGACACTTAGGTCTCCATTAGCTGCCTAACTTTTTAGATTTGTTCCTCAATTTGGAGTAATGAGATGGCTTTTTCTGATTATGTGCCACTGTGACATATGCTCAAATTTAAGTAATCATGTCTTCTTGATAAACTGGTTTGCCTCAAGTTAGAAAAGAGAAATTATGTCAGTAGTGTAGAGTGGTAAGTAGAGTTATCGGGATGACCTGCTGCAACTGGCAGCATTTTTTCTGCTCTCTAATGATCACACAACTATTATAAAAGATTAGAAGTGCCATGGGAATGTATAATACATACAAATATTCTAATGAATATAGTAATGATCATGCCAGTGAAGTCTGCTTTAGTGGTTATGTGCAATGCATACCTGGACTTGTAACACTTAATAACTCCTTTGGCCATTACAGTATTAACCAAATGCTATTAATTGCACTTAGAATCAGAACTGGGATCACGCATGGGCTCCTGAGTTCCAAGTTTTGGCTTAAGGCTTTAGCATCAATCTGTGTGATGACTGCATGTAAAACTATTGTTTCACTGTGCTTGGAGTAACCCTAAATGCCAGGAATCAAGGACATCATCTATCCCAAACCAAAGCAGCTGGGCCAAAGCATGTTCCTCTAGCATTTCAGATATCTTAAATTAGGCAAAGCTGTTAATTTTTTTAAAAGCTGTTAATTTATATCTGATCTTATTTGTGGGAAGTGGGGTGTGGGATCTATAGCATTAAATGGACATTATTCATACATGGCTTGAAATGAAATGTTTTCCCTTTGCCTCATCTAAATGCTTAATAGACCTAAATATCATATCTGGCTGTGTGGGAATGGCTTCTCTCTCATTTTCTCTAAGCCACCCATAACTTTAGCTACAAAATACAAAAGAAATATATCAATGAGAACCAAATGCCAGATAGCCATCCTTTCTTTGAATTTTAGCCACATAGAAACTTCCAATGTGAAACTCAAATTGCTTAACCAGAATTGGGAACTGAAATTCGTAAGTTCATCACATGGTTATTGGTTACCTGTGATCATCCAGTTATAAAAACAACTTACAAATTATTTTCAAAGCTTTTCATGATGTCATCCTTTGTCCCTCCAATTTCAGGTTGCTGCATTTCAATTTTACTAAATTTTTTAGTAATTTTTCCAACAATTTAATGGTAATTTATATAATTGCCTACTTATGGAGGATGCATCTGACCAAATGTGGAATTATACATCCAAACTTTGGAACACTATTATTTTCTCTGTTCTCTTAAATCTGTTGTCCTGTAGCCTGTCCTGTCCCTGATTTAGTTAATACCTCCCTATTTCCATAACCGCCCCACTTTTAAAAGGGACTCCCCCATTCAGACCCATTGATTTCATCTCCTCCCACCTTCTAAGTTATCCCACATTCTCTTTTAACTTTCTTTTCTTTCTTTATTTACGTCCATTACAGCCAGATCTCTATGGCTCACAGATGTGCCCAGGGAAGCTCCCAGAGGTGCGTCACAGGCCCAAAAGAAGCTTGCATCAAAGTGCTTCTTTGAGATGTCATAGCACTGCAGCAGCAGGTTCATGTGTGTGCAGTAGAGTTGTTGCTTGGCTTATCTCACTTTTTTGTTGTCATTCCCAAACTCTGGAGGCCCACGTCACACATTGTTTTACCGAGACTTCATAGAACAAAGCCACATAAATTGTATCTGGATGCACTTCAGGAATAGTGTGTCTGTTTCTCTCTCCAACTTGTTCTTGGAGGTTGAATAATTATGAAATGGGGACATCTGCAGGTTGAACATGCAGGAAAGAATATTGAACACTCAGGGCAAAGCTAACCTCTCTAATTTTTATAATTCTCCTTGGTTAGATTACTAAATATTCTCTCCTCTCTGCTCTAAATGTTTTATAGTATTCATTGCAAATTCTCAAAAGGTTTTGATGCGGTTTTATAGTCCCCACCTTCTATGTGGCCAATGAATGAAGTAGGGAGGAAGGGAGAAAATGAGGAGAAGAGGAAGCCATGCCCTGGAGAAAGCTGCAGGGAAAATGCCCAAAGCAGCATTAATGTTACTGCTTAGTATCTCAGTAGTTATTGCTCCTCCACAATTCGAGTTCCATCTCCTCCCAATTTGACCTTATTTTAAAGCCCTAGATCCCCTAAATTACACTTTATAAGCAGAAAGTGTAATCTGGCCATGGCTGAGGCATTCCTTTTATTCTAATGGATAAATTTACAGCATACTGAGAAAGAGCTGATGTTACTTATGAAAAGCCATTGATTTGCACTATACTATGCTGTGCACAAATTTAGAGAAGTCTTGCTATGTCTGCCCTGAGTCACCAGAAAACAATAAGCTAAGCCGTAAACATCATTTCATGGATGAGCAGAGTCAATATGGAGGTGATTTTCATGCGCTTTTTTTTTCAATCACACTCATACTCTCACCCACCCTTTTTAAGTTGGATCCTAGTTTTACCTATGTGTTTTAATTAGAGGAGAGAATGATTGCATTATTCAGTTACTAACGTAAAATCTAGAATGTAACTTCAGTTTCCCAAGTATAATCCTACAGGTAGCATGGGCTTCTTGGTGAAGAACTTTACTGGAACATGCAGATGCTACTGACAAATATTCTGAGCTGCCATTCTTTCCCTTTGGTTGTCCACAGGGAATTCCTGAGCAATGGGCACGATTACTCCAAACCTCCAACATAACAAAGCTGGAACAGAAGAAGAACCCACAAGCTGTTTTAGATGTCCTCAAATTCTATGATTCCAAAGAAACAGTCAACAACCAGAAATACATGAGCTTTACATCAGGAGGTGAGAGGAATTCTATGGTATCAAAAGGTGAAGAATGCATTCCAGTTTTCAGGAGCTCATGATTAGAACAAAATGTGTGTAGACTATTGAAGACAGTTTTAGTACTTTCTGCAATAGCAGTAATTTCAGTATAACTTAAGGTGATGGTAGAAGCTTTTTTTAAGCTGGATTTTGTTACACCACAAATGAAGAAATTCTTCAGTGAAGCAGTATTTGTTACCTTGACTCGTCAATTGTTATTTTGTCTTTTCATTGGTATGAATCTAGGCAGTCATTAAAGATTAAGTCTTGTCAAATGGGTGAGAAGTAAGAGGTGTAAGGATCAAGCAATGCTCTCTAGGAATCTATTTTTTTCTTACATTTATTGATTTATACCATGATAATATGGAACAAATTTTGTGATTGTCAAGCTATTTTGATCGAATTCCCAAATTGAGGGTAGGGGAAGACATGTCTTGCTATTTTTAGAGATTGAAATAGTCATGTTAATGTCACACTATGATTATATTTGCTAGTGTGTACACATTTCATTTGTTTCATAATTTTATTTTTTGAGAAAAGTGATCTGAATTGTCCCTGTAGAACAAGTTAATTAACATTGAAAGAGAAGGGAATACTGTTATCACTAGCCCAGCTAAGTAATGAGGTCCTACCATTTGTCATTGGATCTAAATCTAAGATGGTTGAATAGTCTTTGGAAATGGTGTGAGGATGCATTTGGAAGGGAAAGAAAGTCTCAAGCATCAAATCTCAAATTTGAAGACGCAAGCCACTCACATACTAAGTGGATCTTTTTGATAAGCGAATATTGTTTAATTCCCCTCCATTGTTCAAAACTTGAAAAAGAAAGCCATCACAGTGATATTTTGTTATGCTATTTAGTCTTCCATCTGGACTAAATGTCAGAGACAGTTCCATGTAGACCAGACTGGCCTCTGTCTCACAGAGATCCATTTGACTCTGCCTCTTGAGTGCTGGGATTAAAGGTGTGTGCCAGCACGCCAGGCTCCATTGCCTTATCAAACAGTGCTTTACATGGGGAAACATGATCCTAAGCTAGAACCACAAATGGCCAGGACTGAACATAGAGCCAGCAAATCATTTCATTGTAACCACTAATACCCAGTGTTTCTCAGTTTGCTCTTTACTTGAGGTTGACATTGCTGTCTAATCCATTTACTAGTTGCCAAGTTCTTTCAGCTTACAAAAATGAATTCTTTAAAATTGCTAAAACTCAACAGTATATGAGTTGTTTCCTGATACTGAGCTGAGTAAAGCTCACTATTTGCTTTCTGAATGTTCTAGTGTTGAAACTGATTGGATCAAAGGGGAAAGGGAAGAGAAGATGAGAATCAAAAGAGAATACAAAAGGAAGGAATAAAAAAGGAGAAGAGGAAAAGGGCAAAAAGAAAAAGAAATCTTATATATAGATGTACAGACTCATAGTACTCAGGAATAGTAATATTGGTATTCGTCCATATTGATGAGTTATAATGAAGGCCTTCATTATTTTTGTAAAATAACTGGCTGAAAATATAGTCAGGTACTATTGTGAGCTATTTTAGGGGGAGAAAAACCTGATGTTTGTCATAGACTTAATACTAAAATTTTCTTCTCATCAAAGATATGTAGTTTTTAGGTAGGATTTATGAAACAAAGGTGACATATTTATTCTGACTTTTCAGATAAAAGTGCACATGGATACATAGCAGCACATCCCTCGGTAAGTGGAAAACTGAAAATTGTTTCTCTTGACCATTGTAACATAAGATCTAGCAGAATGAAGTTATATGCATCCAGCTTCATACGCTCAGATTTTAAACACAAACTCTTTTAAAAGCCATAATTTCCATACATGAAATTTACCTATTGTTAAAGCTACAATAAATTTTTAGTAAATTTGTGGTCCCATGTTGCTATCATTATAATCAAGTTTTATTTTTTTAATTTTATTTATTATTTTTATTTTATGTGTATGCATGTATTGCCTGCATGTAGGTAAGTGAACCTGTGCCGTGCAATGCCTGTGGCAGAGAGAAGAGGCTGTCGAATCCCCTGGGACTGGAGTTACAGACATTAGTTAGCAGCCATATGGGTGCTGGGATTCGAACCCGGGTCTTCTGCAAGAACAACCAGTGTTCTTAACCACTGAGCCATCTTTCTAGCCCCAATAATCAAGTTTTATAACACATATAGAACCCCCGTAAAAGTGTTCATAACTGCTTTCCATTTTTCCTAACTGGTTCTACTCATAGCCTTTACCAATCACTAATCCGTCTGCTTTTAAAGATTTGCCTTTATACAGCTGGGCATGGTGGCACATGCCTCCTATCCCAGCACTTGGGAGGCAGAGGCAGGGGAATCTTTGCAACATCAAGGCCAGTCTTGTCCACATAGCCACTTCCAGGCCAGCTGGATCTAAAGCAAGACTCTCTCAGAAAGACTAAAAAAAATAGTTTTGCCTTTATATAAATTTCATGCAAGTGAAATAATATAGTATGTAAACTTCTGGAATTAGCTTTTTCATTCGTTGTATTTCTTCTAAGAGTCATCCATCTTGTTGTATGTATTGTTTGTTCCCTTTATTGCCAAGCAGTATTCCATGGCATAAATTGTACTACCATTTGTTTAACTATTCACCCACTCAAGGCTCTCTTCTTAGTTAGCTTTCCTATTGCTGTGATAAAAAACAACTTTGGGAGGAAAGGGTTTATTTGGCTAACAGTTCAGAGTCCATCATTGTATTAGTTACCTTTCTGTTGCTGTGATAGAAACACCATGATAAAGGGAACTTATAAAAGGAAGCGTTTATTTGAGCTTATGGTTACAAAGGGACAAGAGTCCATCATCGCAGGGAGGCATGGTGGCAGAGGTGGTTGGCCGAGGAGCAGAAGCTAAGCTCTCACATCTTCAAGTAGGCACAGGAAACAGAGTATGAATGGAGATCCCACAAGGCTTAAGAACTCTCTAAGTTCATCCCCAGTGACATGCTTCCTCCAGCATAGCCACACTTTCTGAGACCTCCCAAAACAGCACCACAAACTGGGGGCACAATGTTCAAATGCTTGGAGCCTATAGGGGACACTCTCATTCATATCACCACATTCCACTCCCTGGCCCTCATAGGTTCATGACCATATAAAATTCAACATGCATTTAGTCCCACCTATAAAGTCCCCATAGTCTTTAGCAGTCTCTTTACTATTCAAGAGTCTGTAGTCTAAAGTCTCTTCTGCATCTTAGGACAATCTCTTAACTGTAAGCCCCTATGAAATCAAAAGACAAATTACATACTCTCAACATATAGTAGAACTAAATACACATTCCTCTTCCAAAACGGAGGAAGAGAGGCACAGTGAGGAAATACCAGACCAAAATAAGACTGAAAACCAGCAGGGAAAATATCAAATCCAGTAGCTCCATATCCAACCTCTGGGACTTTATTCCCAAAGGGCTTAGATGACTCAGCCTCTCCAGATTTGTTCTTGGGCTGGTACCACTCCCTGTATGCAGGTCTTCTTGGCAGATGCCTCACAGCTCTGGCATCATGAACACCTTCTTGGGGTCTCCACTGTCAACCAGGCTTCACCTTCACAGCTTCACACAATGGCCTGTCAGGACCTTCTTTATGCAGGGGAGCCCCTGCTACATGCTGCCTGGCCCTGGCGGCACTCTAAAACCTCAGAGGAAGAACTAATGACCCCTTCACTCTTGCATCTTTCATGTCTCTAAAGCCAGCACCATGTGAATGACACTGCCAAGTCTGGCTAAAAGTTTGGGATGGACCCCAGCCTGATTTCTCCATTTTAGAACCTTTTCTCTTCAGTGATTTTCTAGTAGAAAATCCCTGCAGCATTTTCCTTTCTCAAGTTGGAGGCTTAGCTGCATGTGGTCTTGCTCTGGAGGCACTCTGTCCATTGCTTAAGTACAAATCTCTAGGCCCCTCCTTAATCACTTTAACCTTCTTTTCAAAGGATCCTGCCCTTCATCTCATCGTAGTGTTCTTTTTCAATTCAAACTATACATTCAGTATTTCCTTCTGCCCCATTTGCTCCTTTTCACTGTAGATCTGCATAATATTCACCATTATTAGCCATGCCACCATTTCTACTTTAGGCTGTCTTGAAATTTCTTCCACCAGATATATTAGTCCATTGCTTTTCAACTTAGCCTCAGGCAAGCTTTTTGGCTGTGGGCAGACTCTAGCCAGACTCTTTGCCAAAATATCCCAATTACTGCTTAAGTACTTATTTCCTTCTGAAACTACATTGTTCTGAGCACTACTTTCTTCTGGGCATCTACTAGAAAGGTCTATTAAGCTCTGCTTACGTCATCTGCTTTTCTAGCCCAAACTTCTAAACTCTTTCACATTCTTCCCAAACCCCACATAGTCAGATTCTTCACAACTAAAAGCTCATTCTCTGATATAAATTACTCTATTAGTTACTTTCCTGTTGCTGTGATAGGAACATCATGACCAAGGGAACATATAAAAGGAAGAGTTTGTTTTTTGACCTTACAGTTCCAAATGGGCAAGAGTCCATCATGGTGGGAAGGCATGGTGGCAGAGGTGGGTAGAGGAGGAACAGAACCTAAGCCCTCACAACTTCAAGTGGGCACAGGAAGCAGAGAGTGATTGGAGATCAGGGAAGACTTAAGAATTCTCAAAGCCTGCACCCAGTGGTGTGCTTCCTTCAGCATAGCCACACCTTCTAAGACTACCCAAAACAGCTCTACCAACTGGGGACAAAATGTCCAAATACTTGGAGCCAAGGGGGACATTCTCATTCTAACCACCATAATCATCAAGGAAAGTCAAGTCATGAACTTGGGCTGGGAAACTGGAGTACAGACCATGGAGGGATGCTGCTGTTTAGTGGCTTGCTCCCCTTACCTATGCTCAGTCTACTTTCTTATACAACACAGGGCCTGGTGCCTGGGGATAGCACCACCCACAGTGTGCTGAGCCCTCCCACATCACTCATCAATCAAGAAAATGCTCCAATGCCAGCATGGTGCATCATATCTTTAATCCCAGCAGAGGCAGGTAGATCTATGATGGAGGCCAGTCTGGTCTTCATAGCGAGTTTGAGACAGGCTGGAGCTGGCTGCTAGGGAGACTCTGTCAAAATAAATAAATAAATAAATAAATAAATAAATAAATAAATAAATAAGAAAAAAAACAATTCACAGACATAACCACAGGCCAATCCAATAAATGAAATTTCTCAATTGATGTTCCTTCTACCCAGGTGTGTCAAGTTGACAACTGATGCTGTTGATACAGCATAACTCTCTAGACTATTTCCCATTCTTGGCTTTTACAAATGAAGTGCCTATTAAAATTCATATTTATTTGTCTTTATGTAGACAAATATGTTTGTGTCTCTTACATTGAGAGTCTTGAAAATAATATTAATAGCATTTTCTATTTATTGAATGCATATAATATATAGTTACAGTGTGGAATGTGGGTTGATACTATTTGTTTATTCACTTAATCTTTCCTATAACCCAGTTAAGTAAGACTTACCATTATCCTCTTTTTTTTGGTCTTTTTGAGACAGGGTTTCGCTGTAGCCCCAGCTGTCCTGGAATTCACTATATAGACCACGCTGGCCTTGAACTCACAGAGATCCGCCTGCCTCTGCCTCCCGAGTGCTGGGATTAAAGGCATGCACCACCACGCCTGCAAGACTTACCATTATCCTCTTTTTATAGATGAGGAAAATTAAGGTTCAGAAAGGTGACATCATTTGTTTAGGGTCACAGTACTGTGTTTATCACTGTCATTAATTTTTTGGCAATTAATGACTGCGGGGAAGGGAAAAGACGGTGTCTTACAGGGTTGCAACTAAGTGGGATTCATGGATGGATCTGCATTAAAGGACATTGGGTGACACAAATCATACTTCATTAGTCATATATATATGTCTATTAAGGGGGGTGGGGAAGATGCAGAGAGAGGAGTGGATCTAAATGCTATCAAACTATATTGTATGACAATTGCAAAAATTCAATTAAAAATGCAAAACAAAAAAACACCCTGAGATTATTTGAAGGATGTGACCTTCCCAAATTCATAGAGTTTTATCAGAGAACCCTCGAAATATGTCACTTATTCCTTGAAAGTACTGCTATATATGAAAGAATGCCCACATACCTCACACAGAAAAATCATCATAGGCCAGACTATTTTTTCTGTGGATTTTCATTTTGATGTCATGATAGGAATTATTCCCTGCCTTATTTGATTCCTTGGGGGTGAAATAATTGACATTCATGGAAGTCTTCTAACCATTTATTCAGATTTGTGGGTGGTCAAACACTTATTTTCCTTTTTTATAGAGAACAAATGCTGGTCTGCTTGTTATCATTCTAGGCAGCTGGTGTGAGAAAGTAGCTACCAATTAGTGGTAAAGAGTAAAGCCTTTGAAATAGTATGACAGTGTCTCCAAAACTTAAAATAGAATTACTAGATAATTAAGCTATTCTATATCTAGGTGTATATCTAGAGTTGAAAGCAAGGTCTTTAAGAGATTGTCCATCCACTTGTGTTCATAGTAGCATTATTCTCAATAGCCAAAAGGTAGAAGCTACACAAATACCCATAAACAGATGAAACAAAAATAAGTATTATAAACAACATTAGATTGTTGTTCAGTATAACGAAGGAAGAAAAATTTGAGCAAGATATATGGTTGAATCTTGAGGACCTAATGC